AACAGTCAGTTTGACTGGAACCTGTACTCTTTTACTTTCAGGATTGCCTTCCTCGGCTCTCTTTCCTGTTCATCTCTTTCTTATGGTCACAGGATGACCACCAGTAGCTCCACTGACAGATTTCCTGCTCATTTCAGCCCAAGTATGGGCTAGTACTCATTGCCTCTTTGTACCTATCCTAACCTAGTCATTGTGGCCAAGGGAACCCACCCAGGTGACCAGCCAAACCAGTGTTATCATTCCCACAGCACAGCCAAGGAGTGTGGTCAAGCTTGAGAGACCGCCTATGGCAAGTGCATCTCCATGTGGTCAGAAGGCAGAGGGCAGTGGCAAGCAAAACCAACAGACAAAAAGAGACAAGGGATTCTGCATGAAAGAAAGTGAGGAATTCTGTTCTCCTTCACTCGTGTTTATTTTTTTTTTTAAGTTTAAAAACAATGGAGTCTATATAGGAAGTCTCTCCATTTCTGATGTAACCTACTGTTTGAAAAGCTTCTAGACTTTTAATAGATATTCACAAGTTGTAAATGCTATCATAAGCTATATCCTTTTTAATTACCCATGGAGGGTTATTAATTTGAAGCTTGGGTGAGAGTTCTAGGCTAAGGAAAGATTTGAGAGTTATTTAACACATGGCATTTGAAATCATGCAAGATGTTGAGAGGATAGAAGAGGAAGATAAATAAAAAGCTAGATAAATGGACCTTCAGTGGACAGTGGAATAGCAACTCTTGAAGACTGTAGAGAGAAGGAACAAAAAATAACTAGTACAATAAATATTTCACAGAAGTAGAAGATGGCATTATAATCAAGAGAACATGTTCAGTAGTCTCCATGTAGCAGAGAGGCTTCCAATTAAAAGGTCATTGAGGACCACATAGCAACAGTTAAAACATTAGTGTATGTAAGAAGTTTGAAATGGAAAGTGGAGACAGAAAGGACTGGTTTAGGTGAGGGACGCTGCTTGTGACAAGGCTACAGATTGGGTTTAATTAGCAAGAGGACTCCTCTTTCCGCAGTGAGGATTTGTGTGAATCTGGGTTGAGGGACATCCAGGAGGGTCACTTCTGGGGATCTCAGTTTTCTCATTAACACTCTTAGTCAAATCTGCTGAGAGTAATGAGAGCTAGTAGTCAGGAGTGTCATGATTTAAGTCATACAAGTTGAGAAGCATCTTAGAATGGAGAACAGGCTGCTAGGGATTTCCTAGAGTTGTTGGTGGCCTTCATGAGGCTTAAAAAAAAATCTTGCACTTTTGTGCCACAACAATTCTCAGCGTACTCCTTACACCTCTGAGGTCTCCCGAGCTTTTCAGGGCGTCTGTGAGCATAAAACTATTTTTATACTAACACCAAGGCTCTGTGCTGCCATCTGCACTCTTGGTACAGAAGCAATGGTGAGCAAGACTGCCAGCCCCTCAACACAGGACAAGGTGGTGGAAGTGCGATGCCCTCACATCTAAAAACCAAGGCCAACCAGTAAGAATGTCCTTATTGAAGCAGTAACAAATACTTTTTTGAACCCCATTCTTCACATATGTCTTACTAATGGTCTATATGACAAAATGGGAAATACACATAGAACATGTCTGCCACATACGAATACTATGGTCTTCTCAAGGAAAATGTTGGCGCAGTTTGAATTAATGAGCTGAAGCAGCTGCCTTTTGAGATTGAACGTCGACAGTTTTTTAAGAGTAGGTTTCTGTGGTCAGAAAATGGTGGTGGCACAGTTTGTAAGCTAGGTTTTTTGGGGGAGCTCCATTAAGAAACTTGGGTTGAGGCTGGAAGTGACATATTGCAGCCTTGATCCAGGATCAGTTTTGCAGGATAGGCAATATGGACCCAAAGCCTTGCAGTAGAGAGCCAGTCAGGTGACCCGCCATGGGGTCTGGGCTACGAGAGGAAGAAAAAAGCCTGATGGACCAGAAAGGTGGGGTTATGTTGCTAAGCACCCACTGAAGTTAAAGAAGTGTGTGTTCTGAGGGTACCAGGGTGTCAGAGATCATGGTCAGCCTTGGAGGGACTTAGGTCTTTTTGGAGAAATAAAACCTGTATCCAATGACATACATGCATGGGCAGCATGATCCATGCCATCTGAGTGGTGCCAGTGGATGGCTGTGTGGCGTGGGAGAAGGGAGGCCAGGCACTCTTAACTGGCATTGGCACCTGCCAGCTGCTTCCCATTTCTCTCCTTTTTCCCTTCTGTAGTCGTGAATAATTCAGAAATGGTTCTTGGAGTAAAAGGAGGCTAGAGATTCAGTTATTTTTCTAGTAGCAAAAAAAAAAAAGTTATCTTTTGAAATTGTACCTGGAAGATTAAGGGCCTAGAATTCTTAACTTAATGAAACTAACAGCCCTGGCTTGTGTGGCTCAGTGGATTGAGTGCTGACTAGCAAACCAAAGGGTTGCCGGTTCAATTCCCAGTTAGGGTACATGCCCGGGTTGGAGCCAAGTCCTCAGTGCTGGGCATGAGAGAGGCAACCACACATTGAAAAGAGACGGACAGACCTGTTTTAGAAATGCTTAAACTGCAATTATCTAGGTGCCTTCAAGTGGGAAAGTACTCCCCTCCCGCGCCCCCCACCCCACCCCCGACACTACCACCATTTAGAAATAATGCTGTTAGAATCAGACCGTGGCCAGGATCACCTGGACTTTTCCTAACAGATGGTGTCTAATTGAGCATAATGGCAAATGACTTCTAATCTCAGGACAGTGCTTGGGGAAATGTCTGTGAGCTCTTTTGGGAGAGGGGTGATTGGGCCAAGGAAATGAAGTTAGATTTTATTACCTGTGTTACAGATAAGACTCTAAAACTTACTCAACAAAGGGTGTCTCATGTGTTCACTTAGCTGCCTGGTGTTCCTTAAGACTCAGATTTGAGCAAGAGATGCCTGAGTTCTTGACCATTGTGCTGTACTCTCCTGACCCTTTGATGGAGCCTTCTCATAAATGGAGGCTGGTTGTGGGCCCAAGACCCCATGTCACAACTGCAGGAATGAACACCTCTTCTGCTACTGCCCAGACAGTGTTTCAGTCAAAGCCCAAAATATGTAGATTCCCAAGAGCCTTCTCTGCTCTGAAAAGTCTTCTAGCCTGTAGAGCAAAATGTCATTGTTGCCTGATTTCCTTAGGTACACTTGTATGTGTTCAAAAGATTATCAGTAGAGGCAAAAATGTATTTTATGTGCTTTAAAAAAAACTTATACTTAATGAATATGAGAAAAATTCTTTGCTATGTGAAATTTATTATGTCCAACATGTGGTTTACAACATTATTATCTATTTAATTGTCTGGAAAATCAAGAAGGGTGACATGCAGCAAGGGAAGTCACAAGTCAGAAGTGAGCATGCAAAAGCATGCATGCGCACACACATACACACTCACCCCTTAGAGTGAACTCAGGCAGTTAGGTGCCGCCTCAGCCCTCCACCTGCTCTCTTGAAGTTGTCTTCCTGGTAGGTACATAAGCAGCCACTCCAAAAGGTATACTGGCCTGCTGCTATCAAGGATTAGAAAAAAAAAATTTTTTTAAGATTATTTATTTATTTACTTTTAGAGAGATGGGAAGGGAGGGACAAAGAGAGGGAGAGAAACATTGATGGGTTGCCTCTTGCACACCACCAACCAAATACCCGGCTTGCAGCCTAAGCATGTGCCCTGCCTTAGAATCAAACCTGCAACCCTTTGGTTCATAGGCCTGTGCTCAGTCCACTGAGCCACACCAGCCAGGGCTGAAAATATTTTTTAGTGATTGAATGAGTAAAATTATTTTCTTTTACCATTCTGCTTTTAGAACTCATTGGCATGTGCTGAATTGCACATGGATGCAGTTGATAACCCAATTATCACTGTTTGATTAGTTGATGCATCTCACTGTTTTTTTGTTGTTGTCACTGCATTTTCTAAAAATATATATTCTCTTTTTCAAGCTTGCAATAGATTTTTTTAATGTTTGAGGCCCTTGGGTTTTTCAGGAGTGTCTCAGGGCTGTGAGCTAGGACTTGAAAGGCTTAAGTAACTTTTTGTCTACTCCCTGTCTTGAGGCTCCTTTTAGGATTTAAAGAAAGGAAGGACCTGCTTAAATTGAAACCATTGGTCTGAAAGTTATTAAATAAGAGGACACATGTTAAAAAGAATCCCCCTTTTGCTACCTGTTTACCTAAACAATACGTGTTTCTCATTGAATTTTACTCTTAACACTAAACACAAAAAGTGTTATATCACATTTCCTGTAACCCTTGTCCCAACCGCAGTTAGCCATGCCCTTTGCCTATCCTCACGGCTTGCAGTGGTCCCTGGGCACTAGGTATAGAGTTCACTAGGTTAAACTGTTCATTAGCCACCCACCCCTTATCTATTCCTGCTGCCACACTTCCTACTGTTATACTCTCAACATGAAAGAAATGTTCAGCTGCTGACTATGGTCTGGTCAAGAGAATGTGCTTAGTTTGGGGCCCTGGAGAAAGATGCCAAGCTGCAGAGTGGACCGGTGCCTGTGCTTCACACATGACTCTCAGCCAGGACCTGGAAACAGGAGGCTAAAAGCACATAGGAGAACAAGTGACTATTTTCTTCTATAACCTTGGAGGTCTTCTCTGTATGTTGGAAGATAAATTGACCATTGCAGAAATCACTTTGGAGTTGACTTGAAAGAAGTACATACATAAAAGTTAATGCTTTTGATACCTACAAAGCAGAGTAGTGATTTAGGGAAAAGTTCAGGTATAGTAGGCAGACTTAGGTTTGAATTTTTTTCTTCTACTTTTAGTCCTTGGCTGATCACCTCACCTTTCTGAGTCTGGGTCTGTAATTGTCAGATGCTCACGTACTCAAGAAGCTCAGAAATACAATAGACACCCAGTGTGCTGACTCTTCTCCCTAAGGCAATGCTTAGCTCAACTGTTTTGGGGTGATTTTACTTAACCAGGAAATAGAAAGTATTTCGGTTTTTATTCCTTTGGCTTCTCACTATTGCAAAATCTTTGTCTTTGTAGCTCTGGATTTACTGGACAAAATGTTGACCTTCAACCCTCACAAGAGGATTGAAGTGGAACAGGCACTGGCCCACCCATATCTGGAGCAGTATTATGACCCAAGTGATGAGGTAAGAGCCACTCCTCCTAGCTGCTTCTGCAGGGACATGTCTGAGCCAGCAGCAAGCTCAATCAGGAGGGGCCCAGGTGTCCTGTTTAAACTATTTTGAGAGGTACTAAGTGGTGCCTTATCTGGTCCTCCCACCACACCTACAATCCTCAGCCTGGAGGCCTAGTTGTGTGAGCACAACTTAAAACTTCTCCCCATCCTCTTAAGGCCCTTTTACTTTTGAAAACTTCTTCCAGGGCCCCCTGCAGCAGAGGTGGGGTGGGGATGGATAAAGGGGACAGAGCTGGAGGTTCAGTGCTGGAGACTATCATCGAACTCTATGGCAGTAAGAAACACCTGAACCAAAGTGCCTACCTTGAGGAGAAGGTGTTACAGAGTGAGGGGGTGGAGGTCAGCCTGGGCAGTTCCCACTATGGCTTGGTGACTTCATGTCTGGTGTGCCTCCCTGAAGATGGGGACACAAGAGCCTATTGTGGTAAGAAATGATGAATTTAGAGATTGGTGCGACAGCTTGCCAGAGCATTCTAGACATCCAGCTAAAGGTAGCAAAGGAATGCAATTATGAACCAAAATTGAGCTGTTTCTAGTGGAGACTCAGATGTGCAGAAAACAGGCCTTCACACCCCTATTTTAAAAAGAGAGAGAGCCACAAGGAATCGATTACAATTAAAGGGGAAAATGGAAGAGGAGAGGAGAAACCATAAATGCCAATGGCTGATAAATGTAAGAGAAAAAGAAATCAAAAAGAGGAAGTATTAATTAATCAGTTTTCTCTTCTACCTTTATCTCCTCCAGAAACAAGGCATTTTGCAAAAATACCTACAACATAGTAAATAATAGCAAACTAGCTGAGAGTATGCCTTTTGGAGCCCTTGTTAGGCCTGTGAGCTAGAGATTTCCAAAGGCCCTGTTTTCTAATCACAAGCTGGGGTGCTACCCAGGGGCATTGGGAGGGTTAGAAGGATGGCGTAGGTGGGATACCTACTGTGATCTCACACAGAGTCATCCATTAGGGAGGGCTAGCCATTTGATTTTTTCTAATGGACATGAATCCTTTTCCCCTTTCAAGAGGCCAAAGCTTAGTACGGTTTGGAGTCCCCGTTTCTGTCCCCTAATGGTCTGGTGTGAGAAATATATGAATAACTACTAGACATCCAATGATCAAAAATTGATATTATTATTAGGTTAGTTTTATAACAGGTTAGTTAGAAGTTAATTAAAAATCAAAATGTACATAATAATGACTAACTTTGTTTTTTTTGTAAGTGATTATATATGGGAGGTCTTTGACATAAATAGTTCAAACCTATACTTAAAAAGTTTTCAGACTTCCGACCAGATGGAGACATAGGTGGAAACTCCTTGCACAACCAAGTTTAAAGACAACAAAGTTTTAGTTTAAAAAAAAAACGCAACCAAAACACAGAAAATTGAACTATACCGAAGTCCAAAAACAACGAACCCGTCAGCCAGACCGGTAAGAGGGGCGGAGCCAGCGGCTGGTGGGCAGGGTTGCGCAGGAAAACTCGGTCAGACTGACTCAGGCGCATGATCAGCTGTTGGTGGATCCCAGGAGTGGGGTTGCCTCGGCAGACCCAGTGAGGGCGCAAGGTGACGGGCTGAGCAGGGTCACACATTTGTGCTCAGATAAACCAGCGAAGGAGCGGGCATTGAGACAGACCATGCAGGCCCCAGTGGCAGGAAGCAGCAGAGGGAACCGCTATTGCCCCGCTCTGACCCTCCCCCCCCCACACACACACACATACAGCGCCACAATCCTGGGTGGCCCCGCCCTGGTAAACACCTAAGGTTCCACTCCTCATACTTAAAGGGTGCGAACAGACCAAACATGGCTCAAAAAGAACTCAAAGCCCCAGAGCCCGTAACTCTAAGGAATGAAGAAATAGCCAAACTTTCAGATGCACAGTTCAAAACACTGGTGATCAGGATGCTCACAGAACTGGTTGATTTTAGCCACAAATTAGTGGAACATATGAAGGCTAAACTAATTGAAATGAAGGAAAATGCACAGGAAAGAAATGTTGATGGAAAGGAAACTGGGACCCAAATCAAGGGAGTGGACCAGAAGGAAGAAAAAAATGACCAAACAGAAAAATATGAAGAAACAAGAATTCAAAAAAAATGAGGAGAGGCTTAGGAACCTTCAGGACATCTTTAAACGCTCCAACATCTGAATTACGGGGGTACCAGAAGGGGAAGAGGAAGAGAAACAAGTAGAAACCTTATTTGAACAAATAATAAAGGAGAACTTCCCCAATCTGGCAAAGGCAATAGAATTCCAGGAAATCCAGGAAGCTCAGAGAGTACCAAAGAAGTTGGACCCAAGAAGGAACACACCAAGGCACATCATCATTATATTAGCCAAGATTAAAATGAAGGAGAGAATCCTAGAAGCAGCAAGAGCTAAGGGGACAGTCACCTACAAAGGAGTTCCCATCAGACTGTCAGCCGATTTCTCAAAAGAGACCTCACAGGCAAGAAGGGGCTGGAAAGAGGTATTCCAAGTCATGAAATCCAAAGACCTACATCCAGGATTGAGCTATCCAGCAAAGCTTTCATTTGAATAGAAGGGCAGATAAAGTGCTTCTCAGATAAGATCAAATTCAAGGAGTTCATCATCACCAAGCCCTTATTATATGAAATGTTAAAGGGATTTATCTAAGAAAAAGAAGATAAAAAAATATGAACAGTGAAAGGACAGCAGACTCACAGTTATTGACAACCACACCTAAAACAAAAACAAACTAAGAGGACAGCTAGATCAGGAGCAGAACCATAAAAATGAAGATCACATGGAGGGTTAGCAACAGAGGAGTGGGAGGAGGAGAAGGGGGAGAGGTACAGAGAATAAGTAGCATAGACAGTAGGTAGAAAATAGATAGGGGGGAGGGCAAGAATAGTATGGGAAATATAGAATCTAAAGAACTTGAGACATGTGTTCATGAATTAAAGGGGGAATGGTGGGGGAGGGGTGTGCAGGGTGGAGGGGAACGGGGGGGGAATAGAACAACTGTAATAGAATAATCAATAAATTTTTTTTTTTTTTTAAGTTTTCTGATAGCAGTTTCACAGGTCCTCCTCCAGGTAGCAGGGCCCAGATTTGGTAGCTGGTGCTGAAAGAAAAGCCCTCGGGTGCGTCCATGCCCTGAGACTGTGCAAGTGGCAGCTGTCACTCATTGGCACAGAAGGGGGCAGAAAAGTTTTCTGGCTATTTATAGAGAGCACTAAAATAAAACTTGAAGGAAAAAGACAAGGAAGATCACTTTGTAGTTTTGTTACAGTTATTATTATTAAAACTTTCGAGTATGTCCCACCCAGTCTTATATTTCTATATCTAAATTTGAAATAAAATAGGGTTCATCCTGCTTAACACAAACATGGGCATTTTCCCATGATATCAGTCATTCAGTTGCATGTTCAAGTGCCATAATATTTCTACATATAAAGATACTGTGATATATTTAGTCAAATGCATCCATCTGATTAGCATGGGTTTTGATCATATAAATATACCATCACCAGTACCCCTACAACATCAAGTTTCTGTGATTTTTGGCTTTCGGTGCCTTAAAACATTTGAAAATTATTCTGGGACAAGGTTAAATGAATACTCTATTCAGTTGTTCCTGGTCCATTTATTAAGTACTCATAAGGAGTGCACTATCAGGCATCTGGGGTACCTACTTACCGTGGTTCTCAGTCTTTAGTACATCAGTCTTGTATAAATTTCTAAGCCATAGTCATTTTAAGAATCAATACACAATTTCCTTAACCATAACAACTGTTGTCTAGTAAATATTTTGTTTTTTCTTAAAGCCCATCGCTGAAGCACCATTCAAGTTTGACATGGAATTGGATGACTTGCCTAAGGAGAAGCTCAAAGAACTCATTTTTGAAGAGACTGCTAGATTCCAGCCAGGATACAGATCTTAAATTTGTCAGGTACCTGTAGCTTTGACTGTATAATAAAAACTAGTGAAGGAGAAAGGATACAAATTAAAAGTTACTTAAAAGAAAGAGGGATTTCCATTGGCCTTCATGGGAGCTTCATAAGGTTAGATTGTAAGATATGATGGACAATACAGTGATATTGGTAGATTTTTTAAAAAACAATTTCTCAAAAAAAGTACATGCAAATCTTGATTTTAGAGAATATATGGAAGAGGAAAGTGAATAGAGCTTATGTTAGACCTCTGTAGAAGAGAACAGTGAAGTAAAGAACTACAGCCCAGAGTTGAAACATTTGCTGGGGAAATGCTTCAGACAGGCTGACATGGAGTGCCTGGAGGTGTCCTGTGGCAAGCAATGGCATCTCGTGTGAGTGCAGACAAGTGGCCCAGGGGTGCTGTGTTTGTATTGGAATAGGAAGCCACCACCCTGGTGACATGATGTAACAGTGGATTCTGCAGAGGTGTGCATTTGGGAGTTTCTTAGCTGCATCTCTGTTCCATATTTTCATGCCGTGTCATTTTCATTTTTGTATGACGAGGCCCTGGGGCAATGATTCAGGCTGAGGGTTGGTCCCTGGTTGACTCTGTTGGGCAACATCCAGGCTTGAAAGCAGTAGCCACTTGAAGTGGCTTGTTTATTTACTTATTTGTTCATTTATTTGTTTATATTTAAAGAGAGGGTAAAAGAGGAATAAAGAAACATCAGTGTGTGGTTGCCTCTCATGCACCCCCTACTGGAAACCCGGGCATGTGCTACCCTGACTGGAAGTCAGTCCGGTGACCCTTTGGTTTGCAGGCCGGCACTTAATCCATTGAGCCACACCAACCAGGCTTGAGGTATTTTAAATAGAGGTTATGGGACTGGTCAGAAGGCATTTGAAGGGTTGAAGAGCAAAAAGAGGGAGGTGGGGTGACCTGCAGATTGGTAACTGCTGGAAGCTGTCCCTAGTCTTCAGCCAAAGGAGCAAGAACGAAAATGGTGTTAGCCAGGGACTTTGATCACCACACAAGGCAGGTGCTAGGCACCTGCTGTCACTGCATCTGCTAGAGCATCACTGTCACTGAAGGGGGGTCAGGAGCCTGTATTACCGCTGCCTTGAGGGCCTGAAACCACCATCACTAGCCAGTGCTTCTAAAAGAAGCCACTCCTTCTCCTAAAAAGCCATGTGTGATTAGGAGCAGAAAGGGGGAGGAAGTATGGTTTTTTCTTTCATTGCCTGTATTGGCAGAATATCCCCAGAGACCAGCCACCAAGGAATTTCAGTAGTGCAGTTGACAGGTTTCTAGCCTTGTCATTAAGGACAGGACAAGCGAGGGAAGGGTAGAAAAGAGGTGAGAATAGACATGGCCAGCTCAACCTCAGAGAGCCTTGCAGAGTAAGAGGGCTGGGAACAGGGAGGGGTATGGACTCTACTAGTTTGGAGGATGGAAAATGGTACTTTCAGAAATCTGACACCAAAGCAGGAAGGGTTGGAGTAGAAAGTCTGGGTGGGAGATGAACTCAAAACAGACCAAATGACTAAGCTCAGACTAGGGCTGTGTGGAGAGAAGCAATGAATTTGGGAGAGTGGAGAGAATGTCTGAAAGACTCCAGATTTTCTGAACCTAGCAGCTGGGGGCCGGGGTGGGGGCGGTGATGCTGGTAGTGTTAGGCCCTTAGCCATTGTTATCACTGGACACACCCCAAAAGACACACTTGAAGCACGTGAAGGGTTGAGGAAACCCATGCTTACCTAAGGACACCAGTCGTGCTCTAATAAACTCACCCTTGGGAAGAGTCTGAGTGAGAAGGAAGAAGAGGTTAGCAGGGGACTAAGGACAACAGTCTAGTGAGAGCTGAATTCATTTACATTTGCACAGGTCATAAGTATGGCAGTCTTTTGAAGTATTTGTTACATATAATCTACACAGTCACTTGCTGATAGAGAGTCAGTCCCCAGGACCCACCCATGTTCACACCTGGGGTTTTCTTCCTGGCCCCTCTGCTCGGTGCTCACAGTAGGATGAGTAGTCTCTCAAGATTTCCTAAGAGTCTGCTCTTCCCTCCACATGTCCACACAAGTTCAGACTGCCTGCACGCTGATTGGCTACCACTGGGTTTTGTAACGTTTTATCTGGCCCTTTACAGATCAGGTTCACTGACCCCCCACCTAGAAGGTTGAGCTGAGCAGTGCCTGTTGATTTTCTTCCTTCACAGTCCTTTTCACAGGTCACGTCACTGAAGCCAACAACTTGTTTCAGTGCACACATACAGTGGTATACTATAAGCCAAGTTGTTTTAGACACCCAACGACGCAGAACAAGTAAGACTTGAACATGGCCTCAAAAGATCACATGGTCTAGTAGGGGGCAGAACTGTCATGCATGTTTTTAGTGTATAAGAGCATTTGGGGTTGACATAGTTATCGGTTCATCTTCATTCATTTAATCACCATTGAGCACTTTCTGGTGCCAGCCAGGTAAAGGGAACAAAAGAGGAGTGTAAGGAAGACCCAGGCTTTGCTTTCCCAAAGTTTGATGGCTGGACATGGGAGACAACAAGAAGCCGAGTACTATATCATAGGTGGATACAGGCTGCAAAGATTGAGGGGGTCCAACATCACAGTGCTGCAAAGGGGGCGCTCTGCTGGTGGAACATGCAGTAGGGAGACAGGCCCGCATGGGAGCCCCACAAGAGTCAGGCTATGAAGAGGCTGAAGCCCAGGCTTTCCAGGGAGCCTACCTTTCCCCTAAACATGGTTTCAGGTCCTGAAGCATTAGGGCAGTGACTCAGGGCAATAAGGTGTTGGGGAACCCCGGGACAACTGGCCGGGCTTCAGGAGGAGAAGCAATGCAGTGAACGCAGGGAGCAAGGTGAAGGTAAGGGTTCTTCTGGGGCCACATGCCGTGGCTGCTAGCTCAATGCCTCCTGAAGTCCCAGTGAACAGACAAGGACCATGGCCCCGCCCAGGGTCCACCCCAATTCTGAAGACAGTCCCTTTGTGTTTAGGTCACTTCCTTCAGAGTCACAGAAGGCACAGTACATGCCTATAGCTTGATTTTTTTCCAGTATTTTTTAAATGACTATTGTCAACTATTCTGAGAAGTTGAAAGTTGTACTATAAATACCCATATTTCTACCACCTAGATTCTATGATTAATGTTTTACTTTGCTTATTTTCTCATATACATCTGTTCAACCCATATTATTATTGGGGGGATTTTTTGTTTTCATTTATTTCAAAGGAAGTTTCTAAGCTCTCAGCTGACATGTAGACATTGTGTTCGGCTGCAGTTCCAAATGGTGTACTTCTAGGTGGAGGCCTTTTCCCACATCGGAGCCCGTCTCTTTGTCACACAATTGGGCCATACCTGTCCTGAACTTTGAGTAGTAGACAAAAGCCATGCATCTGAAAGCGCTTGTGAAATAGCGTAGTGACATTTTGCTACATCATCATACTAGCCAACCTTTCACACCAGTAAGGGTCTCCAAGGAGATCTCGTTTGATTTTGACAGATTTGGTTACCTTCCTGGCCATCTTAACCATGCTTCCTCATCAGAACCAGTACCATACAACATGTTTTGAGCAGCAGTGTTTTTATTTCTTCCAAGGATGATGCAAAACTAAGAGACCTGGGGGTGAAGTTAATTCATCGCATACAGTTGGGTGCCTTAGGCAGCGATTCTCAAAAGTGTGATCTGTCTACATTTCATGCCCCAGCAGTCTGTCTTAACAAGCACTCCAAGGGATTCTGATGCTCACAGTTGAGAACCATGAGCCTATTACACAGTTAGAGTAGATCTGATTTGGAATTTAATTTCTCCAAGTAAAATAGAGACATTAGGATAATGAAGGGGGAAGTGTGCTTCTTATACTTTAATATAGTGACACTCCTCGTGGACCTCTTAGAGGCAGCCCATTTGCAAACATCTGGAGGGCCAGCTGAACCCTGTGTAGACAATAAGCGAAGGCTGTCAGCGCGTTGTCCCCTGCTGCCCTGTAGGGTCCTGTCTTGGAGGTCAGCTCACCTCTGACCTGGATGGTCAGAACACTCCCCTGCCGATGGGAACCATGGCACAGTTCCCTGCCTTTCCGGAATCTGGGCCCGCCACCCTTACTCTTTAACCCAGCACTTTATTTTGCTGTTCTTCTGTATCACAGTCAGAGAAAACTTGAGCATTAATAACACGCATTCTGCTGCCGTGTAGTTGGTATTGCCCTCCCTGGTCATCCAGAGAGAAAGAGACTTACTAAGAATAGGAGGAGGAAGAAGAATTTTTTTGCTTCATATTGTATTACAAAGACCCTCAGACTCTGATTTGGACATTGGCATGGTGGGCTGGTGGTTAATAACAGGCGTCTTGGCCATAGTGAAGCCAGCCAGCCTGTGAGTGAGTGTGTGTGTCCTCTAAGTGTTAAGGAAAATCCTCTGAGAAATGTCTGAGAAGTGCCTTCAAAGGCGGGCAACCCTTCCTCTTCAGAACTGCCGTGTTACACTGAAGTGGTTTCGAGTAAAATGACCTTGTTGCAGGGTTGGTTGGTTATTTATTGTTTGTTTATTTTTGTTTCTTCGCTTTTTTTTTCCCATGATGATGTTGGTGATGCTTTAATATGGTTTGTTCTTTACATGTGAACATTTTCCTAGTGCTGCTGCTGATGTTTTAATGTGATTCATTCTTAACTCATAGGTTTGTTTATTTTTCAATAGGACAAGGGCTCAGAGGACTGGACGTGCTCAGACATCGGTGTTCTTCCCAGTTCTTGACCCTGGTCCTGTCTCCAGCCTGTCTCAGCTTACCCATCTTGACTCCTTTGAGCCATTCGGAGGAGCGGTTTCTGGTAGTTGTGGCTTTTATGCTTTCAAAGAATTCCTTCAGTCCAGAGAACTGTTTCTGGCACCCCTATGTGTGTCACCCACTGGTGACCTGTGGCAGTATGTACTTTCAGTGCACCTACTGCGTACCGTTGCTTTAGTCACTAATCGCTTTCTGGTTTGAAAGATGCAGTGGTTCCTCTCTCTCCTCCCGAATCCTTGCTTACATGATGCCCTGCTGTCCCATGCAGTTGCACCAGAGATCATTTTTTCACGTTGGCTCTCGTCACTGGCATCTCACTTTATGATAGGGAAGGCTACTACCTTGGGCACTTTAAGTCAGTGACAGCCCCTTATTTGCACTTCACCTTTTCACCATAATTGTTTCCCCAGAGCAGGAATTCATGGAAACACCTGGGATGACGTTGCAGCCTGCAGCAAGTGCTCCCATCCTGGGAACCTTAGGGGCACTTGTCAGCATCTTTTCTTGTATCATGTTAGTCATTAACATTTAAAGTATGTGCTGATTGCCCAGCTTTTAGAAAACTCAGTCATCTTTGTAAGTAAAAGAAAGGTACTGCACTTAGCAACTTCACTCTGTAGATTTACTTTGGTTGTTTGTACCATTTATAGAGGTATAACACTTGCCAAAATGTGTTATATGCAGAACAGAGTGTTTGCAAGACTTATGCAAAAAGCTTTAAAGTGGCAGCTTCACTGGGGATTTAGTGAGAGACAAAGGTCACAGCAGGGCGCTGAGGAAAGTATCTGCAGAAGTAGCCGGTAGGCTGCCTGATGTCACTGGGTGGAGCTCCATCCCAGGGGTTCCCATGCCCCAAGCTACTTCACGTGGTGTGCCACATCAGTGTAACCACATTCGATGCCTGGGGATTTAGCAGAGGGTAAACACTGCGTCTTCAAATGAGAAAGTGTACAATTCTTTTTCTCCTACAGCATGTCAGCATCTCAAGTTCATTTTTCAACCTACGATATAAAAGTTTGTAATGAAGCCTTCATGAGCTCATGACATGAAGCACTGTTCTGTCATCAAGTGCTCTCAAATGTTTCTGATACTGCTGAGCTAAGCCCGTCAGAAAAAGTTAGCACTAAGTCATGTTCAGAGCTCAGACCCTTACTTTCCTGATCTCTCTAAGTATTTGTCCCTGCCACTGTACACTGTGGCGTTGACTCGGTGTTCTGTCCCAGTGCGGTGCCTCCTCTTGACTCCCCCACTGCTCTCTGTGGTGAGAAATTTGCCTTGTTCAATAATTACTGTACCCTCGCATGACTGTTACAGCTTTCTGTGCAGAGATGACTGTCCAAGTGCCACATGCCTATGATTGAAATGAAAAATCTATTGTTACCTCTGAGTTGTGTTCCACGGAAAATGCTATTCAGCAGATCACTTAGGAATAATTCTATTTTTAGCTTTTCATTTCTCTTGTTTGATTTTTGACAGCAATGAAGAATGGGTTATATAAAGACTGCCTGCTAATATGAACAGAAATGCACTTGTAATTCATGGAAATAAATGTACATCTTCTATCTTCATATTCATGTTAAGATTCAGTGTTGATTTCCTCTGGATCAGCATGTCCAAATGGACGGTCAGGTTTAGTTGTGCTTAGAACAGAAGTGCTTACAGGCCTCGCCTTCCCACCCAAGCTCTGCACCAACACTTTGGTTTACATGAAATGATTTAGAAAGCATTTTTTCCCTTTTTTCTTCTTGCACAGCAGAGAAATCAGTTCTGACCTGTTTCTTTATTCATATCATAGTAGAATATTGTCAAACTCTAGTGAAGAAGCCCAAATGTCTCAGGTTGGATTCTCTGGTTCATTCTAAAGAGGGCTTGCCTGTGTGCCCCAGAGCTGTTGGTAGGCGCAGCTGAGCACTCAGAAGGGCTGCTCAGCATTCCTTGGCCCACCTGCCCCAGCCCAGGGTGCTGATGCTCATGCCTCACGGGCTGAACAGGGAGAGCTGACTCATCCTCAGAAACAGAATCACACTCTTGCTCTGAAATGCATGAGCTTCACCTCCATGCTCAGAGCTGCCACGTCCAGGCCCACGCAGCACTGACAGGATGCAGATTTGACTGCTAACTTGATACTCTGATAAGTCAGTTTTCACTGTACAAGGAGCATTGATGGTTTTATTACTTTTGTTTCTTTGTTTTTAGATGGAATGTTAGTATTAGGTTAATCTGCAGTTCTCTAAATAGAAAGCCATAGCCTTGGTTACTAATCCCTGGGGACGGGGCTCCTTTTCATCCTCCTTGCTGGTACCCTGGAGTCAGATTGGCATGAAACCACTAACCACATTCTAGAATCACTGTAACCATATGTTGTGTGCTTTTTATTAATCATGCCAAACCTGATTTAATAGGTCAGAGAATTGTCATAAGCAAGGTACCTGTGAAAAAGTACCAGCTGTTACGTGTGAAAGACTCATCATTTGGATCTTCTTGCATCTCTAAAAATGTACAAATTAGTTCATAAATTTATGTTGGTGATACCGAACATAAGCATTTAGACTAGTGGCTTTTTTTGGTGTCTAAAATGTAAGCAAAAAACTCCTGTTGAAACATTCCAGTCCTTTCATTTAGCATGAAATAAAATGCCTACCAAGCTGGTGCAGTGGGTTTGAAAGTACTCACGGGGTGACCCTGTGCCGACACAGGTCTCAGAGCTGATGACAGAGATGCACAGGCCGTTTTGATGCACGGGGCGAAGACTGTTGTTGTGTTGGTGTGCAGTGCACAGTGCTTGGTGTGTTCACAGCGATTCGTTCTGCTGCAGGCACAGGTGTAGTGGTACCTGTTAGCTTTCAGGAGCCACACGTGGTTCATCGGTGGTTATTTCTAAAGAGTCACCGGTATACTGCCCACGCCGCATGCCACGTAATATTCAGACCATTCAGAGGTGACTGTTTTACCTTTATTTGCTTATCTGTTAATACGGTTTTTAAATTGGTAACTTTTATATAGTGTGGTAACAGTATGTTAATACACACGTACATAATGCACACATGCTTTGGGTCCTTCCATAATACTTTTATATTTGTAAATCAATGTTTTGGAGTAATCCCAAGTTTAAGGGAAATATTTTTGTAAATGTAGTGGTTTTGCAAATTTGAGCAATCCTTTTGCTTATACATTTTTAAAGCATTTGTGCTTTAAAATTGTTATGCTGGTGTTTGAAACATGATACTCCCGTAGTGCAGATGAGATGCATGTAGCAGTGGAGTAGGTCTGTGGTTTCTCTCACTATGGTCCAGCTCGGCGGGTGGGTCAGGAACGACTGAGCACCGAGGGAATTCGGTAGGGTTGCACCAGGCTCACCTGAAGCTCGTTGCCTTTTTCGTGCTGTTTATCTGTAGAGCACTCAAGGAAGTTCTGAAACTGCTTTGTATCTGCTTTGTACTGTTGGTGCCTTCTTGGTATTGTACCCCAAAACTCCGCATAGATTATTTAGTATAATGGTAAGTTTTAAAAAAGAAGTTAAAGGAAGATTTTATTAAGAATCTGAATGTTTATTCATTATATTGTTACAATTTAACATTTATTTGTGGTATCTGTGATTTGGTTAATCTGTATAAAAATTGTAAGTAGAAAGGTTTATATTTCATCTTAATTCTTTTGATGTTGTAAACGTACTTTTTAAAAGATGGATTATTTGAATGTTATGGCACCTGACTTGTAAAAAAACTACAAAGAAATTAGAATCATTAAATTGTGTCCCTGTGTTACCAAAATAACATGGTACTGTGCATGTACATTTTAATTGGAATTTTACGTGTGAAAATATGAACGCATCTAGTCCTTTATTAGTATGTTTCCAAAATAAGTGAATCTTCCTAATTTGACTTTGCTTATTAGTGATAGAACCATAAGCTGGTGCGCTGGAGCTCATTGGGGTTTTAGTGCTCCGTCGGGTTTTCCAGTCTGTTCTTTAGACCGCTGGCTAAAGGGGAGGAAAGAAGGCGGTGCTGAGAGTCCTCATGCAGTGCTCACATGCATCTCTACTCACTTCCCTGAACTTCAGCAACTCTGCCACCAGGGCTGGTGTCCTTGGCAGCCTCTGTTAGACCAAGAAATTACGACTGTTTTAGGGACTCTTGGACATGTGGTTCTTGTTAGTATTGGGCATCATGTGGTGAGGTATTTACAAGACAAAACATTAGAAATGTTTCTGGTGTAGTAGTGTAGAAAGAGCATAGGTTTGGGGCCCATAAAACTGGGTTCCAAACCAGCCCTGTGCTTATAACTGCAGCTGGCTTTCGGCAGGTCATTGTGCTGCGCTGCGCTTCGGTCCCTCAGGTGTAAAATGGAACCAATACCCTTCCTTTGGCCATAGTAAGGACTGTGAAGATGCAGTTCAGCTGTCTAGTGTAGGACCTCCAAACAAGTACTCGGGCCCCAGCAGGGAGCTCAGCTGGTTAGAGCGTCATCCCCATACACCAAGGCTGTGGGGTCGACTGATCAGAGCGCGGAATATGAAACGACTGACGAGCACACGAGTAAGTGGAACAACAAATCAGTGTTTCTCTCTCCCTCTCTCTAAAAAAATCAAAACATAAAAATTTTAAAACAACTGTTCAGTAAGTAGCAAATATTCCTAAATGCTTTTTAAAATTTTATTGTTAAGCTGGCACTAAAATGTCTGCTAATCTCACTAACTGCTTTCTGTTCATCTGAAAGGGGGAAACCTACCTGTCTACAACTTCCTGCAGGAAACTGGGCTGAGCCCCCCTGAACTCTGGGAGTTTGTAATGACTTTTTGAAACAGTCGCAGGAGTGTGGCATTTGCTTTCCCTTTGACAGATTAACACTTTGTTGCCTAAATCCTATGGATGGTGATTAAAAAAACATCACCTTCTAAGTCATCTTCCTTACTCAACACAAATCTAATAATCATGTTCTTTCCCACTTCAGTTGCAATGAGCTCTCTGCCTGGGCACTAATGCAGACATTCTAGTCAATGGTGGACCAGCATCCTGGGTGGTCCAGTTTGCTGTGTTTAATCAGAACCAGGGCGTTCAGAGGTGACTTGTGACTGTGGAGCAGTCCTCTGACAAGCGCAGAAACCAAACCCAGATCTTGGTTACAAAGCAGGTGGAGGAGAAGGTGTGTGTCCACAGAGGAGCAGTGAAAGGATTGGTGTTCATGGGGCACAGGCTTGTCTGTCTTGAGTCTAAGTGCGGAAGGACAGAGGGGACAACAGAGCTGGGCCTTGCAGGACTGAGGGCAGGTAAAGGGAGGGTCTGGGTGGGCATGAGATGTGGGGTCTCTTTCTGAATCTAATGCGGGGGGGGGAGGGGCGCTGAACACAAAAGGCTATTCTAGGTGGAGAGGGAAAAGTGGAGTGAGATTGTGCCCCGTGGTGTGTGTTTTTCAGGTGAAGTGGGAAACAGTCTATGGAGAAAGAGGAAGAGCCAAGAAGAACCAAGACAAGCAGATATTGGGGTGCTCAGCACTGGGGGGGCCAGGCTGGGGCAACACTGCTGAGTCTATGTGGAGTGCGGTGGACCCGGGCAGCTACACGGTTTTTCTCTGGTGGCAGTGTCAGCTGGATATAGAGCAGGGGACTGAGAGGACTCGGGGCAGAGGGCGAGATTACTGAGCAGGAAGACTGGCATGCAGTTGTGAGGGGCCCTGGCGTGCAGGGGATGTGGTGGGAGACGCGGAAATGTGGAAGGCAGTGCTCAGATTCCCGTCCTGTTCTTTGAAAATGACACTGTATGGGTCCTGGTACCCAAGTTTCCAGTGTTGGTGTGGTGGGGTTTTCCATACAATACAAAGCAATTCTTGGGACTACTGGGTATCCAAGAATTCAACTTTATTGTGATGCCCTCTACCCAGAGATACAGCATCAGATCCCATGGGTTAAGGGCTGAGTTCCAAGAGACTACTTCCCTCCCACTCCACACCCCTGTCTACTTCAGATGCCAGTCACAAGCCGAGGCTGTGACCTGGGCTTCTGACCAACTAGCTATAGATTGGAGGTTCCCACAACCCTCTCTTTGGGGTCGGCTAATTTAATAGAGCATCTCACAGAACTTGGTTTGCCAGTTTATACGATGATGCTAATGAACAGCCAGATAAGATATATAGAACACAAGGTCTGGGAGGGTCCCAAGCAAGCTTAGGAGTTTCTGTCCTCATTGAGTTGGGGCACATTAACCTCCCAAAGTGTGGAAGCTCCTCGAACCCCATACTTTGGGGATTTTATGAAGGCTTCACATATGTGTGACCAATTATTAACTCCATTGTCAGCCCTTCCCCTTCTCAAGAGAATGAGGGACGGGACTGGAATTTCCAAACTTCCGATCATGGACTGGTGTTTACAGTGACCAGCTCTCACTCAGGAGCCCACCCCGAGTGGCCTCATTAGAACAAAAGACGCGCCCAGCACTCAGGAAACCGTAAGGTTTGCAGAAGTCCAGTGTCAGGAGCCAGGTCAAAGACCAGTTAGAACAGAAGATGCTCCTAGTGCCCTGTCACCCGGGAATGACATGGGTTTCAAAAGCCCTGTGTCAGGAATCAGGGTCAGAGATCA